TCCTTACTCAGCATGTGTTCTCCTGTCCATGCCATTTTTGTAGCATACAGGACACCTCCCTGTATTAAAGGCATCTCTGGGCTTAAAATCAACAATAGAGTGGGAATGAAGAGTGGATGGATGTGAAAATCTGGACCAATATCCTTAGTTACTCTAGAATCAGCCAGACATAGGAATGCTGTCCAGACACTACTCCTTCCGAGTATCACGGAGAGCAGTAAGAGAGTCTGCCTGCCAGGCCGGATACCAAGAGTAGGTAGTAGATACAGGAGGAGCCATGAAGAAGAGAGAAGAGACTAAAGATCTTTACCTTTCCCCAACATTTCTAGCTGCCATTTTTAGTCAACTATTGAAAATTGAATAGGAAAGTAGTTGAACAAAAATCCTAAAGCCTGTTTCCTCTCTTCCTGCTTCAAAGAGTCACTTACCATTAAGTCCTAGGAATATGGTCAGAATCAAAGTGGGGATAAAGAAGGCTGCTCTCTTTTCTGGTGGCTCAGAAGAACCAAAGCTGGTCATTCTGGATCCTAGAGATTCCTCAAGAGCTGGTTTGTTTCAATCTGGCAGGGAAATCTAATCCCTTGTATGGAGGGCCCAGAGCCCAGCTCTGTCCAAGACCATGCTAGAGACAGCCAGAAGACAGCCACACTTGGACCCAGCTTTTGGTCTCATCTCAATCCAGATTATACTCTGGGGACTGGGCCAAGTTGTATAAGCATCTGAGAATTGGAGGAGGATTTGGGGCTAGAAAGTGAAGGATGATGTGTTCCGGGGCTCACAGTCAGGCCTTAGCACAATCAGGCTTTAGGCTTTAGTGGACCAACTGTCTCTCATTCTTTTTTTTTTTTTTTGAGATGGAGTTTTGCTCTTGTTGTCCAGGCTGGAGTGCAATGGCCCGATCTCGGCTCACTGCAACCTCTGCCTCCCGGGTTCAAGTGATTCTCCTGCCTCAGCCTCCTGAATAGCTGGGATTACAGGCATGTGCCACCATGCCCAGCTAGTTTTGTATTTTTAGGAGAGACAGGGTTTCTCCATGTTGATCAGGCTGGTCTCGAACTCCTGAACTCAGGTGATCCACCCACCTTGGCCTCCCAAAGTGCTGTGATTACAGGCGTGAGCCACCGCACCCAGTCTCTCATTCTTAAAGTATGAAGAAGAGTCCTCTCATGAAGGGTTTCATCAGGGCTGAATCTGCACAAGTGCAACCCACTACAGGAATGTGTTTAGTGAAATTACTGGTTTTACTCGATTTTACAAAACAAATGAACATTTTTTCATCCAGCAATAATTTAGGGCAATGAAACAAAAATTTCCAAACTTGGGGGACAGAGAAGGGATATAGCCAAGCCATAGCAGCTTGACATGTACTTGTTAAACAATCAGGATTTGAGAGCAAAACTAAACCATTCTCTGGACCCAATTCATAAGGCAGCCCTAAGTACTTAGAGACACATGGCTAACAGGAACTGGACACACTAAATTAGCTCCCAGATGCACAGTCTAAAATATAGGCATACAATTTGAATACCAATTGTCCCTTTGCCAAACCTAGCAATAATAAGCATTATTGGGAAGATGGTCTCATTGCAATTCATGCTGCTTTTGCAATCTTCGCAGCCAGCAGAGACTTGATATATCTATATCTTTCCTCCTCTCCAGGAAAAACGTCATTTGCAAAGCTAAGCCCCTTGGCAGGGGCCTCTGGGGTTGCTCTATTATGGGCTGTGGGACACAAATTAATTCTTTCATTTCTATTCTGGACACAATTGCATGCATATGAATTCCACAGGTGCATGCTTTTTTATTAACAAAAAAAAAAGCAAGGGAAGTGGAGTTAGACCTTGGAACAATTTGTTCCATAGAACTGAGTGAATCATCTTCTATAATGAGCAGCGTTGGCCAGAACTGCAGCAAACATTGAACATTCCCGTTTATCAATTATTCAAGGGCCTTCTGCCTACCAAGGACATTTGTTAATATGTGAAAAGCTGATTGGCTCTTTGCTCGGTTACTCAGCGTCCATCGGAAGGATATGGACTCACTCGCCATTCTTACTCAACAATTGTGTGCATTTCCATTAAAGATAAGAGGCCTCATTAAGGAGAATTTTCCCCAGAATGTCTCTCCCCATAACCGAGGACCCAATGCCACGTGATGTGGAGTCCTTTTGTGAGGATCAGGAAGCAGACGGGGGTGTGCTATGTAAGCTTGCATCCCAGGAGCAGTTCTTGTACAGTCAACAAGTCTTTGACTGGAGAGAGGCACAGCTCTCAACAAACAAGTTTTTGTTGACTCTGTGCTTGCTACCCAAAGAGTTGTCTGTGGCATGCATGTGAATGCTTGTTAGAAATACAGAATCTTGCCTCTATCCCAAACCTACTGAACCAAAGTCTGCATTTGAATCCATGTTTGAGAAGTGCTTTAGAAAGCACCAGGGTACTGACTGCTGGAGATATAAAGCATCCCGGCCTCTGCCTTCCCAAAGCCGCAATGAAGGCTGGGAATGTGTTAAAGAAAACTCCTTCCACGAGGGGCATGCTATGGTAGCTGTTTGTACCAAGCGTTAGATAACAGAAGAGACAGTGGTTGCCTTCACCGGGGGTGACAGGAACTCTGGAAGGTCATAGTTTTCCAGGTGAAGAAGGGACAGAAGGTTTCCCTGCTTCACTGTTATCTCCCTATGGCCTTCGGTCAGGCCTGAACTGTGGTGAGAGTCTCTTTGCCCCTGCTCTTTGGGGTTCCTCAAATGTCCTCTCTTCACTGTTCCCTGAATTATCTAGATAAAAACCAATCCGTCCTCTGCTTAAAACTTTCAATTGCTTACAGGGCAAAGTGCAGACTCCTTAGCTGGCGCACAAGCCTTTTGCATCTAGCACACATAGACCTTTCTAGGGCTATCTCCTGCCGTTCTCTAGCCTGTCTCCTTCTGCTCTGGTTCTCCAGAACTGCCCATCAATTCCCTCACATGCTTTTCTGGTTTGGGCACCTGACCTTTTCAGCAGCTGTTCCTTCTGCCTGGACTGCTTTTCTTCCACGTTCACTTGGTGAACTTCTCCTCATCCTTCAAAGCTCTGCTCTAGCATTACATCCTCGGTGAGGCCTTTCATGAATGACTCCTAAAGAAAGTTAATCATCTCCTACTTTGGTCTATTCTGCACTTTGTATATCTATTATTTCATAGATCAGGTTCTATTTTCTATTATTTGCTTAGTGGGTGGTTTATCTGCAATGGTGGATGTAAGTCTGTTTTTTGAAGACAGGAAATATGTTGATTTGAATCCTCAGAATGGCACATAGAAAGCTTTAAGTATTGCTTTTTGAATGAAATATAATTTGAAAAAAAAAAAATGGAAAGCATGAAGGTGCTGCACATGTTGAGAGATGTGCAGTTCCTTTAGTCTGGTTTCAGCACAAAACGAGTGAGGGGATGCAGATATACACTGCAAAGGTAGCTAAAGCCTAAGTTGGGAAGGGCCTGAAGTGCTCCACTAAAGAGTTTGAACTCTTAGAAATCACTAATGTTATTTGCAGCAGGGGGATGATGTTACAAGATCTTTGTTTGGATAGTTGGCTGGAGACAGAGGAATGAGGGATGGGCAGTGAGAAAAACAGGAACCAGGGAGGCCAGAGAAGCTGCGATCCTAAAAGCCTGCATAAAGAATGACAGAGGCCTGAAGCAGAGCTAGGAAGAAGAGGAAGGGAAAAGAGTCCATGCTTGTCTCTTAGAAAACTTTTAAGAAATGTCTGTATTGTCCTTGAAGACTGTTTGCTATAAATCTGAAATTTGAACCTATGTATTTCAATTTGGTATGCTAAAAAGTTCATAATTAATGTAAGGTTTTTTGTTATAATATTGTAATCTCAGTTCAAAAGTTAACTGAAAATACAAAACCCAATGATTTCTATATAGTAAATTGAACTGTAAAGGTAACTTGTGTGTGATTCTGAATATATAGATGAATGTTTTTATTCCTCATGTTTTGCTTTGGCTTCTATCTGAAATGCAGGTAAAATTTTACATATCAGCTTTATGTATATTAACAATCTTGCTTTATTAGAAAATAAATTGATTCTGCTAAAAAATACTGGGAGTTATGTATAGAACAATGAAATTTTGATAAAGTCCAGTATATATGTGGAAAAAAAAAAAAGAAAAAAAGAAAAGTGCCTTTAAAATGGCCTAAACAGTGATCTTATTGTTTGACTGTTTATACTAAGGCCAGTGTGTTACTGGAAGGATTTGCTTCAGTAAACAGACATTTGTGAAGTTGGGTCAATATGGATGGGGGTTGAGTGGGGGATAGGAGGTGGGTTCTGATTAATGGAATTTTCTGGTGAACTCACAGTATTGGAAAATTCATCCCTTTTGTTTTCACCAATATTACATTTTTTTTTTTTTTTCCTGCAGTAACTATTTTCCTGCCTTAAGTTGTACAACAGAAAGAACATCTTGCATTGTCCTTTGAGTGGGGCCATGGGCTAGCAAATGAGCAGAGTGGAAGCCAGGAGATTGGATTTTGGTCCCAGTTCTGTCACAGCTTTGTGCAAGTCACTGAACCTTCCTGGGCCTTAGAATCCTCCTTTTAAAAGTGAAGTGTTTTCCTCAGACATTGCTAGAGGGAATGTAAAATGGTGCAGCCTCCGTAGAAACAGTCTGGTAGTTTCTCAAAAGTTAAACAGAATGATCACATAATCCAGCAATTCCACACCCAAGGGAACTAGATGTTAAAACAAAAGCTTACACATGAACGTTCATGGCAACACTATTCATGATAGACAAAAAAGTGGAAACGACCCAATGTTCATCAACTGATGAAAGAATTTTTAAAAGTGGTATATCCATACAATGGAATAGTATTCATCCATGAAAAGGGAGACATACTAACACATGTTACAAAATGGGCAAACCTTGAAAACCTTGAAAATGAAGTGAAAGAAATCAGACACAAAAGGCCACATCTTGTAGGATTCCATGTATATGAAATGTTAGAACAGGCAAATTCATAGCAAAAAGTAGATTATTATTTGACAGGGGCTGTGGGGGAGGAAGAATGGGGAGTGCCTGCTTCATGGGCCCAGGGTTTCTTTTGGGCATGATAAAATGTTCTGGAGCTGCTAGGTGGTAGCGATGGTTGACAACACTATGAATAGACTAAAAACTGCTTAATTGTATTAATACACTTTAAAATGGATAAATGGTGAATTTTATGTTATATGACTTTTATCTCAATTAAGAAAACGAGAAGTTTAAACTGTCTCAAATATTTCTTAAAGCTCTAAGACTCTGTGATTTAATGACACCTTTCTAACACACAGTAAATGATCATTAAACATGTGATGAATTGAATGGAAAGAAATGTTGCAATATAACTCAGACTATAGACAATACTTTCCTAATGGTAAAGGTAGCTGGATCAGATGACATCTTCAGGGTCCTGATATGGTATAACCTGTAGGAAAGAATCATCTTTAAATTAATGCATTTCACCAAATGTGTGCTGGTAAAGGCTTAACAACCAGGTCTCCAAGAAAAAAATAAAATATGCAATATATATGTATGCACATTTATAAAGTTTTGCATCACCTCTCTGCAAAAATACTCGCACTCGAATCCTTGTCTCTGGATCTCCTGGGGAACACAAACTGAAATATCTGTGTAATCTATTTCCTGCATTAAATATTCTCTACTTTTGTACTTGCATAATTTCTATTTTCCTGCTTAGACTCCAACTGCTGCCTCTCCACCGTGACACGGATCCCTGCCGTAACCCTACCTTTCTACCTTGCTAGGAAGGAGGAGTCCTGCAAGCCCACTGTTCTTCAGAGCAGCCTGAAATATAGGTCTGAATATATATAAACAATATAAATTAAGAACCTATAAGAGGCAGAGAATCCCCATTATCATTATGCATGGCATCATTGAACCACTCCTCAAGGTCTGGAAAGTGTTTGAATCCAGCCTGTTTGATTTCAAATTCTTTCAGATACTGTTCTATGATGACTCATGCTTGGGCAAGTCTCAATGTCCTAGTCTTTTCCTTCTCAGGATTAAATGGGCCCATTCTAGCTGTCTGCTGCATGGTTCATCTACAAAATAGGGAGCTGCAAGGAGCCTTCTAGTGGGTTTGCACAGTGCTGGATTACTCGGATGGGTGGGCTACTCAGGAGTGTATTGCACCAAACAAAAAAGCATTGGAAGAGAACTTATGTTTGATATTTCAAAACTATCATTAACACAGTCATGAGAAAAAAATGCCACAGAATTTTGTTGCATTTCATCACAAGTTTTATGACTTGTGCTTTGTCATAAAACAAACTTATTTTATGGCTTGGCATTGTGCTTGTTTTACATGACATCTGTGCATAGTGTTGCACGACTATCAGATAGACACACAGTCCTGTGTGACTAATGCCCCTGTGGTTGTGTGATGCAGCAGCCCTGGGAGAAGGAGGCATGAGAATAATTTTGATGCTGGTGGCCTCCATACATTTCAATATGCTCTTGGGTCTTTCATATACAGGGGAACTAGAAATCAAGAAGTTATGTGACTGCATGACATCCTGGCTCTTAGGAGGTCAAAGGAAGTAAATATCCAAAATGACAACAGCCAAAACCCAAGGTGTCTGTTAAGGGAAGCAGGCTTAGTGGAAAGTGCCCAGGAAAATCTGCTTGGAGTGTTTGTTCTTCAGGGAAGAGAGTAAGAGAGGAGAGAGAGCCCTTGGCTCGCATAGCTAATTGCAGGCAGGAGGAAGCGAAAAAGAACATGATTAGCATGTTTCTCTCCTTCCCTCTATAAAGATGACAGAAGCAGGCAATCTGCTGTTTGTGCAGAAGGGGCACAGGGAAGGAGAGAAGAGAGCATCTGTTCTGAGAAACTGCTGTTTAAAAATGCAAGAAGAACACAAAGCAAAGGAGGAAATCTCCATTGTGCAGGACACTGGATCTGAAAACCACAAGAACTGGAGGGATACCTGCCGAGAAAGCCTCAGATTGCCCTGACTCTGGATCTGGCACCTGGGCTCGGGAGCCTTGTTGGGGGCCTTCTTCTCTGCTCTTTAGAGCTGACGCTTTCAGTGGTGGTCCCTGGCTGTGACCTCCAACTAAGGAACAGCCTTCCTAAGGACAGACATACCACCCCCGTCTGCAGTCAGCCATCCTCACCCTTACTGACCAGGGCTGTCAATTTAGAGTGAGTTAGCAGAGCTTCCTGGCCAGAGAGTGAGTCACAGCCTCCACCCTCACACCTCCTCCTCTGTTCTCTGTCCAAGAGTTGATGCTAATTATTTTCGTGGAAATAAGGGGAGCCAATGTCTCCAATGGATGATGTAACTGGGAACCCCAAAGTTTGAAGGCCTCCATGCTTCTAGAAGAACCAAGGAATGCCTTCGAAGGAGCCAGCAGAATGACCTCTCAGCCAGGCCAAATATCTGATGTCCTGAGGGTTGGTCTTGGCCTCTAGAGCCTCCCTCTCTTGTGTGAAGTATCAGGAGCAAGGTCCCCTATCACACACCTCTAGCTGCCTTTGATAGGCAAATCCACCTACTCAAAGACCATTTATCAGAAAGGATGTAGTGTGACCCCAGATTCTGCAGGTACTTTTCTATTTATATTCTACCTCATTTTATTTGTAGACTGAACTAGATTGTAAATATGTGTGGGTGGCAGCCATCCTTGCATTCCTGGTGTTGATGAGCTCAATGCTATTCTAACAGTAGATACTTAATAGTTATTTAAGTTTGTGAATAATTGGCCCTCAGATCTTGCACCTTTATCAGTTAAAATAAACCAGCCTTGCAAATAAGAACAGAAATTTGAACAATCTTCTTTTCTGATGATATGGTTTGTCTGTGTCCCCACCCAAATCTCATCTTGAATTGTAATCCCCGTAATCCCCACATATCATGAGAGGGACACCGTGGGAGGCAACTGAATCATGGGGGTGGTTTCCCCCATGCTGTTCTCATGAAAGTGAGTGAGTTCTCATGACATCTGATGGTTTTATGAGCATCTGGCATTTCCCCTACTGCCACTCATTCTCTCTCCTGCCACCTTGTGAAAAGGTGCCTTCCACCATGATTGTAAGTTTCCTGAGGCTTCCCCAGTCATGTGGAACTGTGAGTCAATTAAACCTGTTTTCTTTATAAATTTCCCAGTCTCAGGTATTTCTTCATAGCAGCATGAGAACAGACTAATACACCTGAGTCCCAGGGGTCTTTATCCCCCTACTCACTGGAAGAGAGGATTACTTTCAAATCTATTTTCTCATAGCAAAATGAGAGTAATAATAGAACCTTCTCACAGGGATTTAATGAGGGCAGGCATATAAAACAGCATCATATCTAATGCTAGCTGTTTTATCATCACTGTCATTATCATTTTTTCAGATTGTTATTTCTAAGATGAAGCATATTTTCTCCAGGGATTCTGTGAGCAGGGTGGGCACCCTCTGACCCTCCCCTTTGAAAGAGAACCATACAATCGTGGCTGACAGATAAGAAACCTAGCAACAGTCACACTGATATTCCATCAGCTCTCTGGCAGCCATTTCTCCATGACTAAGCACTTGCATTCCTTAGCCTGTCTGCAAATCCGGTGATATCCACAGACACATATCTTTCCTTCTCCTGCTACTCAGACCAACCATTGCCATTTCCTTGAGATAAGTACTGCCTGTAGCCCTGCCGTGGGTGTGAAGGGATACTTTCATCTGGTTTCGGCTTGCTTTTAGGTCAAGATAATTTATTCTCAGGCTTCACGCTCTGAGGAGATTATTAGCAGTTGTAAAGAAAAGACTTATTGGTATACCTGTGCTCTGTGACAGCCCCCACAACAAGCCCTGAACTGCTTTTCACCCGCAAAGTCCAAAGAGGCATGTGGTCATCTAGGATGACTAACGGGTTTATGACCTGCCTTGCAAGAAAGGTTGTCACTGAATCACATTTTAATATTGTGTCCCAGTCTTTTAAAATCAGGGGTTAATGTAATAACAGACATTTAAAGAATGTTTATGTGTCTTCAATACAACGATCAGAGAACACATTATTATTATTTGCTGGTGCTGATACTCTCAGTCCCAGTGCTGGTAATGGCATTTTAAATTTGTAACGTGTTCATTACATTACAAGTCACATTGCAGATGAGGAAATGAGGTGAGAAAGGCGAAGCGATGGTGTAGGTGGGGCTCAGGCCCAGTGCCACGGGTATCTGCGCTCCGGATCCTGCCCTCCCTTTGTACCACATTGGCTAATGTGCTGCTCTGGTATAGTGAATCACACACTAAAGTACTCTCAGAATAAGGACCAGAAAGAAACATTTTCATTGCCTGCTTTCTTGTGTCAGATAATGTTTTACTTTGGCTTCAGAGTGTCAGAGAGTTCAGAAGCAAATGTCAAGGTCACCCAAACCGTATCAGCCTAGGCTTCTGGAATTCAAATGCCACCATTCATTCCTATTTCATTTGATTTTTAAATTTCCATTTTAATGGTTTTATTGTTTGTGCTTTTTATTTTAACACTTCAGTCATTTGGGAAGTAAAAAAAGGAATACATGTTAAGAAAGACAAATCAATCTGTCAGTTATTTCAGTTTGACTCAGTAGAAAAAACGGTCATAGAACTTCCCTTTTGTGCTAAATGTTTTGTTGCTCTGCTTTCTTAGGAAAGGTCTATTCAGGGTAAGGTTGTCAGATAAAATATAGGGCGCCCGGATAAATTTACATTTTAGAAAAATAATGAATAGTTTTTGTTATAAATGTGTCCCAAATATTACATAAAAATTTTTATACTAAAAAGTATTTATTGCTTATCTGAACTTAAATGTATCTGGAGGTCCCGTATTAGATCTACTAAATCTGGCAATCCTTATTCAGAGCCGCAAAGATCCTAGATGTGTGACTTGTTTTTGCACCTAGGCACAGAATCTGGCTAAGGATCAAGGTGCAAAATTGAAACAAGTTCATGATAACAGTTAAAACCATGAAAATGAGCTGGGCCTATTTAAAAACAAATTTTGAACATCTGGCCTTTGGAGACCATTAGATTCACTGGCTGGAAGTTCATTGCCTAAGGCCAGAGGTGGCACATTCTACCAGGACAGGATCTGATTTTTAGCTTGAGATCCTTGAAGACCACCTGTACCTGCCTATAGTTTCCCAGAGCCTGGCAAGCAGAACTTGACTGTGCCTGCCTCTCCAGAACAAATGTTTTGCCCAGTTTTCCTGACCTTTTTTTAAATTGCATTTTTAACTCCCATTTTCCCATATGTCACATTAGCTTTGAAGATTTCACTGATTCCTTGAATCCTGCTTCCTCACTCCCACCTCCTTGTAAAGGAAGCAAAATTCTTTCTCTGTCCCAATCAAAAATATCTGTCAATTACTTGTGGGATCCTGAGAGTATTGTATTGGAACACCCAGCATCTTCTCATGGTCTTCCTCGCAGACCCTTCCTCA